GGCTGGCATTGGCTCTATCAGACACAGGGGAAGCTTCTAGCAGCTTCTCACAGAAGCCACCCCTGTAGCCCTCCCACTACCAAAACCTTGCCACGTAAACCCAACACAGTAATATTACATTTTCCTTATACAAAAGTTTACAAAGCAACAAATGAGCTTTGCAAATCAGTTTATATTTACCCTGGCTTATCACCACAATGACTCAAACCCAAATATATCTCCCTTTATCCAAAACTGAAGCTAAATTACCTCCTCCACCTCACCGAGCTTTTCCGTAAATTGGAACTGGTGAGCGGTCTAGCCCCCTTTGGGAGGATCATTTTTTGAAGGGAGCTAGAGGACAGTGGGGCTGTAGCTCCATAGCACCCTTCATCTGCAGGCAGCACGCCCAATTACACAGTCACCAAGAGGGAGGGCAGTGGTAGGCACCAGCACTTGCTGAGACATTGTGTCAGGGCCCTGCTCTTCGCACTTGACAGCCCCAAAGTTTTCTTAGTTTTCCTCTGGCTGTGTATTGTTTTTCTCTAAATCCAGTGTTTGTCTTGAAGCAATTTGATTCCTAAAGTAATATTTTCTGTGTGGATAAGATTTATTGGGGTTTTCCCCCTATTTTCAGTGCTTTTTCACTAGGTTGGTAAGTGATCCCTGATGCTTGTCCACTTACTTCTGCTGTAATTTGAAACAGTCCTACTAACTTGCTCGCAGCCACAGTTAATGAGATTTTTCCTTCCACCTCTTTGCATTACAAAAGCCTGCTCAGTTATCCAATTTGGAGCACAGTTTAAACATGTTTCCAGGGCCTTTTTCAATAATTTCTTTTTCTCTCCCTAATAAATGTACAGGGTCCCGAAGGAACACCAGGAAATCCAGGTCAGAGGGGCCGTTTAGGAAAGAAGGTAGCATTTTTCATCTTTCCCAAGTTGTTTCCTTTATTTGAAAGTCAAATTTACATTACAAAATTATTCCATTGCACCAAGTCTGTCCGTAGTTCATGTCACACTTCAAGCCAATTTTTTTTCTTGCTAGCCATAGCAATTAGAATTGTCATCACTCTGCAGTCAATAACATTCAGGACCTTAGGAAACTTAAATTTGTATCAGGATGTGATTTTGCAACTCAGAACAGTCCCTCCTGCTATCAAAAAATGTTAAGCTTTGGCTAGAAAAAACACAAAAAAAATAGAAAGGCTTTAGCAGAGTTTTTCCACTGAGTTCTGGGTTCAGACATTCGAAGAACTACAGTAAATGACATACGTAAATGTAATACTCCTATTAAATAAAGCTGTTATATGCTTTGGTTAATCATAAACTGCATTTTGAAACTTAGTGTCAATCTTACTATTTTTAATACAATAACACCAACAGGGGGAAAAGGGGCAGCCTGGCCCTCCTGGAGAAATTGGACCTGCTGGTGAGACTGGCCAACCTGGAGAAATTGGTCCCAAAGGTGCAAGAGGAACTCGAGGTCCCTTGGTTCGTACAAAACATGCTTATTTAAGAGTGCACGTATTTCTGGTTTAGCAGAATTGTATCTCTCCACGGGAAGAGGCATGTCACAGCTGTAGCACGTATAAATATTTTTTTGTGGGAGCTGAAGATGCAGTTAGTGTTCTTCCCAGCCTGTGCATCCTGATGCATGCCCTGGTCTTTCAGTATCAGAATAAGACCTGTGCACCTTTTCAGACAGAAACCCAGGCCATGGGCCTGGAGGGAGTCATCTCATGCTCTGATCGGGTTCCTGATCTGATAATCAGAGGAGCGGGATGGCAGGGCATGCTGTGGACTACTTATGCCTCGCAATCCACATGCAACCTCACAGCTGTGGCTGTTTCTTAAACCTCCCCAGTTTCCAAGAACAGAAATCATGGGGTTTGCTATTACATAAAATAAGCCTTAGCCATGGCTGAAACAAAGCATTTCAAATGAGGACTGCTGGTACTATTGAATGGGAACCTGATCCAAAGTTATCTGAATTAAGTGTATGTACATTAATTTTATGAGCTCCTCTCAACACAAGCTCCCCAAGCTTGCTCCACACTATGACAGATGCACAGGCACATGCAGCCTCCATGCTGGTGAGGCAGCACGCCCATCTCATTGCTCCAGGGACCAGTCCTGTGGCACTGAATGCAGCATTGTGACCCTGAACGCATAAAGTACAAAAGTAAAGTAACTATCTAATGGCCAATATTTTCAGGAGAAGAACTTGAACTCAGCTTCCTAAGGTGAGGACCACTCTCAGCTTCTCTTGGCATACTTAGCATTTATAAACAGAGTTTCTGTGCACCTCTGAAAGCTCGGATCCTTTTTATCTTAATTACGTGCAGGGATTACAAGGTTAGGACTGAAAATGTTCCCCATTGTTTCCACAAAACAGGGGAAAGCCCAGTGTTCTTTACCAAATGAAGCTGGACCTAACAAGGAAATTCTGTGGTTCTCAAATCTCAATATGTGAAGATTTTTCCAAGTGATAACTTCATAAAGATGTGGTGGTGTAACATTTTACAAGGGAGCTCATTTTTCTATCACTGATGGTTGCATTTAACAGGGACATCTAGGAGGAATGGGACCTGAAGGAGAGCCAGGAATTCCGGGTTATGGGGTGAGTTTTTTACTGAATTCATGTACACACACATCCCTAAGGTAAGTCTGTGGTACGCTAAATAATTTCAAGTATCTAGAATACACAAATATTTTTTAGGAGTGTCAGATACATATATTTGTGATTGCTTACTCAGAAATTTTAGCCTTAAGCAACAACAACTGGGTTTTTGTGAATTGGCCAGCAGGTTTTTTTACCACAGATTTGAAACCCTTGTTTGTCCAATACATCCCACTCTTTGTGAATAAAGTTCCTATAAAACTACTACAACTATTCATTATAAAGACAGTTCAACAAACACCACCACTTGTCTGGCAAGGCAGATTCCCTTTCAGTAACGAAACACTGATTGAATGTTGAAGGACATAAAGATATTGTGACTTTCACTGAAAAATAATTATGATCATCATCATAGATGGATCGAGTCCTGCTGTTACAGACCAGACTGCTATGTCTCTTTTCCAAATAGAAGCTTTCACCAGTGGCCCTAACCCTGAAGCGAGAACCAGCCTGGCTTCCCTCACCTGCATCAGACCCTGCTAGAACCTTTGGTTTCCCAGTCTGCACAGAGCTTTTCATACACGTAATACGTTTTCTGCCTGGGCCCATTAATTTTGTGCCACATTATTAGTTAGCGTTATTAGCAAACAGCAAAAAAGTAATAGTAACAAGCATCTAAAAGTTTGGTATTATTTCTTTAATTATTTGTTTTGGAACTAATTTTTGTTTTGTTTGTTTCTTTAGGGTCACCAGGGTCCTCCAGGGTCCCCAGGGCCCCCAGGACCCAAAGGAGAAAAGGTATGAAGATGGATTATTCTGTCTTACAGTTTGAGTGATTATAAAGGGAGGAAATGTTACTGCATGTTCACTGTTTTCCACAGCATGCAGCAAAAGCCACCGTTTGCAATATTTATTAGTATTGTGAGAGAATATGAAAAGAAATGCAAAACTAGGGAAATGGATCATTCAGAGGCAGAGTCCAAATTCTACAGTTGAAACGTTTCCAGTTTTAAAACACAAGGTACCCATTGTAAGAAACGCATTCTATTGTATCAGATAGCACTGGTGATAGAAATAATCAGTGTGAAACTAGCTAAGTATTTACTTAGCTTTAAGCCTGTGAGTACACTCACAGATTTTGCTGAAAGGCCAACTAAGATGGACAAAGGTCTATGCTTAATATAAAATGTTAGAGGCAGGATGCTGCCTCTGTGCTGATATTTTAGTGTCAAATTCACTGTTCTTTTAAGCTTCAAATCCTGCAAACAGATTTGTACGCTGGCTGAAGTCTGTGGCCCCAGCAGGTACAGGGATTCCCTTCATGAAGATTAGTTTGGAATTGCACCTGACAGAGAAATACATCCTTACATTAAGGCTAGTTTTGCAATGAATACTGCTAATAGGCAGTTAGTGGTGATGTTATAAATAGGTTCTGATATAATTTTCAGAAACAATAACCAAAAACTAAATTGTTGGGAGCTAGGTGTCTAGCTTGCTTGGTCACTTCTGAAAAAACACTTTGATGCAATTTGGAAACCTTTAATCTTATTTAAAATGTAAGCCTCTGCATTAAATATTGGTAAATATAATCTGGAATTGATAACTTTTTGTCTATTAGTTTAGATGGCAGTTGTTTCATATTTAAAATTTAATAGAGTTCAGGCTGATTGTTGGGAGTCTTCTGTACACTCATTTGTCTATGTGTATTTCTCAAAACAGTGGAAGAAATTTTCTTTTTTTCTCTTGTCAAATATCCTGTTTACCCTTTTTTCATTAAATAAAGAAATGATTACATGGACATTCTTCAAACACTTTTTTTTTTATAGTTGCCTTTAAGAATGCAGCAAATACTTAGGGTTTTTTTAATCCTAAATTAGGACATTTAGGTGCATGTTAAAATGGAGTTACCATTTCCACTGTGTTAAAATCATAAGTGTCACGTTCACTTCTAGCGTGTATACAGTATGATTTCTGGGTGTTTATTAGCATTTGAACATGTGTGCATTGTAGACAAGGTTGAATTTCCAAGTTAATATTTGTAATACTTATCTTTGTTTTAGGGTTACCCAGGTGAAGACAATACAGTTCTTGGACCACCTGGGCCCATAGGTGAACCAGTAGGTCTTTCTTTCTCAAAAAAATTATATTAGTGCCTCTCAAGACAAGAGACAATGCAGGCTCTTTCTGAAGCTGTGTATCACTGTCTCAGGAGTCAGTACCCCCTCGTACAAAAATGTAGAATGATGGTCCTTTAATTGGTAATCCCCTTCTGAAAAATGCAGTCATGTGCTCTTTTCTGCTTAAGAGTGTGCGCCCTGTGTTTAATTGCACTAATGCCATTAGTCTGTGTTTAGACCAGCACATTTTGGAACAGAATTTTACATTGTACCCAATTGCTTTACTAACCACAAATATGTTTTGACTTATTTCATTATCACTACAAAGCTAATTTAGCTGATTCAGAGTGTGCTGTGTTTTATAACCATTTTTTTACTAAACTCGTATGTGGGGTATCTCTCTGCAGCAATTACAAACAGGTAAAAAAAAAAAAGCTGTCTCAAAATCTTAAAGTGTTTCATGTTCAGGCTCTGATTGTGCCAGAAGTAATTTTTGTACAGCCTACTTCTCTTCAGCTTAACCTTAATATTTATACCTCACCACCTCAAAAGGCAGGACTATAAGACCCTGATGTAACTGAAGACAGAGTCTGGACTAGGTTCTTAATTACGGAAATGCATCAGAGAACAGGCTTCAGCCAATTCTCTTGCAGTCAAACTGGCTCTGTAATGCTGACTGCTGAAATGTTGCAAGCAGGGCCTTTCCACCTTGTGGATTCCCTCTAGGAAACATGTCGTGAGGCTGCCGACACCTTGGAGAGTATACAGGCAGTTGCATAATAGTATCTATTGGTGGGTATGCACTAGAAGTGACTCATTTATTGATTTGTAAACTGTAAAGATACATTGCAGTTAGCGATGCCTGGCCAGTTTTTCATTATGTGCCTTTACTTAAGGCAGGTGGGGAAAAGGCAGTCCCTTATTATTTCATCTAATGATAGGCTGGGTATCTTTTGGAAAGTCTTAGCCATTATTGTTTTCTATGGGCATGATTCCCTATCCCATCATTTTTCCTTTGACTGAGATTTGGTCTGTTTGCTGCAATGAGAGTTAAAATTCTAGGGAAAAATCCCATTTCTTGTGGGATTGGATTAAGGGCCTTTCCTTAAAGTAGAGCCAGTGAGGTGTCCAAATGCAGCCAGAAGAACCACATGACTCTCAAAAATCATGCCGTTCTTTCTGCTCCTGTGCAGGTCTCATATATGTGAGGCATGCTGAGGGATTGAAATTGCCTTTTTATTAGCACGGACTTAAAAATTAAAGCAGATTCTGAGTACAAGTAATTTCAGAAAAGAACTCCATTTTTCGTGTGTTGTCTTACAGAAGCTGCAAGAGTTTTCCGCGTATATCTTGAAAACAAAGTCTCTTCATTTATTCGTGGAGGTTTTTAATTCAAATATCGTGTGTGTATATATATATATATGGATATAAACCTGGAGAAGCTCTACTGAGGTCAATACTCCTGTTTTGTTTATGCCCATGTAAGATCTATCTTTTAGCTTCTAGTCTTCAGTTACTAAATATTTTAGACAGTGGCTGCTGTCTGACTGCAATGCATTTTGTTTAGGAAAAAATGTTTATTCCTTTAGACAAGCTAACTTTAATATTTGTAATCCTCAGTTCTATCTCATTGGTTAGTCTGTTTTGAGAGAAATCCCAGCTTTCTTTTTGAACTTCACAGCATTACTTCAGTTCAGCTGTTATATTTTGCTCTGGTTTTCTCTAGGGTCCTAATGGTGAACGTGGAGATAGAGGAGAACCTGGTGATGAGGGCTACAAGGTAATACCTCTTGCTTTTTATTCTTTTTATTTGAACATGACATGATAAGCATACATGCAGAGTAATGTAGCAGAAGTATCATCTTATCTCACAAGTATGCAGAGATGCACTTGCTGGTGCCTCATTGCACTGATGAGCTCTAAGAACAAATTAGAGTATCTTTCATATTAAGTGAAGTTTAGAGAACTGGGACTCATGACCTAGCGAATAGCAAGCTTGAGTGATCTTAACGTGTGTAAATACCTGGTGGGAGGGAATGAAGATGAAGGAACCAGACTTGTATCAGTAGCGTCCAGCGACAGGACAAGAGGCAAAGGCCACAAACACATGAAATTCCTTTTGAACACAAGAAAACCCTTTTTTACTGTGAAGATAACCGAGCCCCAGAACAGGCTGCCCAGAGAGGTGGTGGAGTCTCCATCCTTGGAAACACTCAAAACCTGACTGGACATGGTTCTGGACAACCTTTTCTACCTGGCCCAGATTGAGAAGTGGGGGTTGCACTAGATGATCTCTAGAGGTCCCTTTCAACCTAAGTAATTCTGTGATTCTGTAATACTGAATGATTTAAGCACTATTTCTTTGTAAATCTAATCTTAATAATTATTCATGAGTTATATTCAGTCTTTCAGTGTGTACAAATTGGATGGTAACTCATGCTAATCATTGATGCAGTTTGTTTCCTGAAATACAAAAGAGATGGTCCTTGTCACGGAATATCCTGTTTAAGTTATGCAGATAATAGAGATAGACATTGTAATAAATCAATGAACTGAACATGATCTGTGCTTACAGAAGCGCAGAAAGGTTTAAACAATATATAATTCCTACTTGCAGTTTGGGGTAGAGAATTTAAAGAAGAAAAGCTCCCTAAGGTCTGATGTCAGGAGAGCTGAGCATACTTTATTTAGGTCGTGTCAGTGAATCTGGGGCCACTCAGCACCTGCCACGGTGGGGTTTACAAGGTAATCTATAGCTCATTGAGCATGACATCCTAACTGACCTGTATTGCAATATCTTGCATTTTCTGCTTCCCAGGGTCATATAGGTCTTCCAGGGCTTAGAGGACCTATTGGACAACAGGGGCCTCCAGTAAGTGTTTCAAACAAGTGAGATTTCTCTGTTGGCTGTTGAAAATGCGTTTTCATCTGCATTCAAATGATTCTTTTTATTTATTTAATATATGTTCTTTCCAAAGGGAGAGCCAGGTGAATTGGGAGAGCAAGGACCAAGAGGAGAAAGAGGTTCAGAAGTAAGTAGAAAAAAATAAAGCAAAACTGCACTTAATTGGAATTTGTATGGTTTTACTGTTCACTGACTATCCATGGAAAACTGTTACATAGGGCTAAAAGTCAGTGTTTGGGTTTCCTTTTCCATACCTGCAGGGACAATAAAAATACAGAATGGAAAATTGCATAATGATCTGGGATAGTAAACATGTATTAGTTGATAGGTAAATGGTTTTACTTTGGAGTTATATAAAGCATTATGAGAGGCTCTTTTGGAAACATTTGAGTGATATTCAATTATATCCTTTGATGGAATTCGTTGTGGCAAACTAGCTCTGGAAGACACCCAGAATTTCACTGCTCCGATCTGTAAATGAAGCCTCCTGGTAGTGCACTGCACTGAATTTTCAAAGACCTGGAAATAAGGAATTTGCTGCAGAATAATACAGGAATAATGGCAGAGCAAGTCATGAAAAAGATCAAAGACTATATCTTTTCCTTTAGAAATAATAGTTCGTCTTGGTGGTGCATTGAATATTGCCAAAAGTATTTTATATTCTCCCATGGGGTGAATTTCATTGGCTTTTGAGATTTAAAAAGACTTAGGCTAAAAGATTTCTTTAAGTACCTTAAATGAGATATTTTGTGTGAGAAGTTTAATAGCACAACTCTTAGTTTCAAAATTTTTTAGGTAAATACAAGAATCTGTAGTAGATTAGGAATAGGGAGCAACAGAAAGGAAACACGATGTGAAGACATTGTCAGCATGTAGTCTAACCATGTGCTTAGATATATTTACTTTGACAAACTATTCACAGCACAGGATAAAATCAGTCATTCCTCTGTTTTCCCTTGGAGAATGTTTTCTTTGTGTTGCAAATGTCCCTCAGCTTAAAACTGCCATTTGCAAATATGGAACCAATATCCAGCCTGGAGCAACTCATAAGAGGCTAAAGGTTTACGCAAAAACAATAATAGTGAAAACATTCGTACAGTCTTAACTCCAGTGGCATGATTGGTGCTGCTATAGCAAGCCTTACAAAGCCAATTCCATAAACTGCAATGCTGAATCATCTGGGTTTACTTTATATGCATTCAGAAATTTTAATGGAACCAGTATAAAGTTCTTTGAATATACATGTTCCAGTTCTGATTGCTGGACCTTTTTTATGCCTTTCTTAACAAAAAGACATTAAATTAAGGAATAGAATAAACTTTTGGTGATTTTATCATATTTACATCAATTATAAAACATTTACACTTACAATGACCATAGCTTTTTCACTTTATTGCATGTTATAGAACATTGCAGCATTGTAGTTTAGCATCACTTTTGCTTTAAGAACAGTATTTAAAATAATTAATCCAGAAAATCTTGGAAGCTTTTTTTCTACTTGATCTATGCTAACAAGTGTTGTTCTTGTCCTTGCTGAGTGGTTTTATCCTTTAGAGGTAGTATAAAATTCATTACATAGATCTTTATATTCTGTCAAGAATATCCTATAGGCAAAATTCTCTGAGATGCTTTTGACCCATTCTGAGATTTTCTTCCTTGGTGCTTGGCCTCCTGTGTCACTAAACCACTTATGAGAACGTTCTCTGGTATCACTCAGTTTTCTAAGACTACAGATTCCTAGATCAGTCAAGACAAAAAAAAGTCTGGTTTTACATAGATTTTATCTTTTGTGTACATCTTATACAAAAATAAAGTTCCTATATGTGACGCTATTGTTTTCAAGTATTCTTGTCCACATACAATCAGTGCATCTACATTGCCTACTTTTCAGGACTTCTGTTTTTAACAGGTACAGGAAGTGCTGTAAAAGCATACTTCCTCACAGAGACGTGGCTGATAGAGGAGAAATTGCCAGATTCATAGCAAAAAACTTTTTATGCCTATTGTTGTTGAACAAGTTCTGAAAACTAAACTATACCCATTCAGGAAAGGGGGAAGTATACACAATTCTACCAAAAATATATTCACTTTTACTTGAAAAACTTTCTGCTGTCTCCTGAAATGGACATAATCTGGTCCAAAGCCAGGCAGTATGAACATGTGTAGTACAGGGGAACAATTCTCAGCTCTTGGGTCTTGAGTATAAGACATTTGTCAGTTCACAACTATTTGTAACTTTTAGGGACCCACAGGGAAGAAAGGAGCAACGGGTCAGGCAGGCAAACCTGGAATTCCTGTAAGTAACAAAATTCTACAGTCTGTCTTCAGGTTATAAACCAAAGCAAATAACTAATAGAACCCAAAATTGAGTTATGCCAGTGGTACCAGAAAGTCTTATGCTCTACTCTAGAGAACCTTCTTATTATCCAGGAAGTATAAAGGAACCCCTGTGAAAATAAGATTAATTTTTGAAACTATGTTAAGTTGTACTGAATTATGCTCAGTTACTCAGCACGTGGAAGTGAAATGCAGCTAATATAACAACAAGGTCCTTCCCACTTCTAAAGTTACTTAATTAGATCATTTTTGCATGTGACTTATAGTCCATGTGCACCTTATCACATTATATTGCACAGAGCTGTACTACTGTTCACTCCTGGCTCCCATCAGTTCTTTGAACAGCTACAGCCTACAGAAGCCTGGAATTTTTAATGTTCTTTCTTGAGTTACTGTAGAGAAGTTAACTTGCATCCCTTGCTCCCTGAGGGAGAAGAACGAGCAGGAAGCAGTAGGTGTTCTGTAAACATATCCAAGAACAAAATGCATCAAGACTATTTTGATCCCCTAATAAATAGTACCACACAAGCACATACTGTAAATAACTTTTACTACCTGACATCAAAACATTGTCAGTAACCAGAGAAATGCAGCTGCTTCACAGAGCTTGTACCTGCTGGGCAGAGTGCAAGAGCAGCCTTGTGAAGGCAAGGAACTGCGTGTCCTTTGTAAATACTCGGCTCTTTCCTCTGGGAGGACTGCAGAGAGTGTATCATTCAGCAGACAAAGAAAAAGAGGGATTGGCAAGACATATGAAAAACTGAGGAGGAGAAGACAGTAAAACTAGAACCTGAGGAAGTTTCAAAGCATGTCCCAAGTGCAAGATACTTCAGCAACCAGAGGTTAGAAATAAGATTATGATGGCACACTTCTTCTGTTGTTAACTATACCTTTTCAAATGAAATGTGTTGTAGTTAGCATATTTTAAATTTCTGAGTAACTCATTCATACAGAGATAATTGCAGAACTCCAAGATAGTGTATGTTAGTGTAAAGGGAAAAACTGTAAAGAAAAAAAAATCATTGTTCTGGTGGATGTGACATGAGGCTTTTTCATGCAGCTTTTTCATGCAAGTATAGGAACAGTTAGCACAAACTTGCATTATTAGAAGTTTGTATGTATTTTTGATATGTTCAAATTTGAATAGCATAAATTTGCAAATGTACCATACAGAGTATCTGGTTAAATGAAGGCTGAAAAGGTATATGATTTGATTTTTTACAGGGATAAATAGATGACTTTATCAGATTTTCTTGCTTCAGTTTAAGAATCAACACTCTCAGTCATTTTCCTGGCACACAGAGGGGTCATCCCCATGGTTTCAGCTGAAGTTGCTCAGATCCCACAACACAGCAAGTCTAAGGTTGAGCCAATAGCATTTTAAACCAAACATCGTAACTCAGAGCTCCCTCTGAACATATTCATTTGTGTCACTGGGTCTGATATTTTGTAGAGTTTAGGAAATACTGTGACTGATACCTAGTTCTGCGATGGTGAAGATGAAGAGAGCCAACAGTGCTATATTTGATTTGAATTTGTTTCAAGGGAAAAGCAGGGCCAGCAGGGCAGAAAGGAGCAGTTGGGTACCCTGGACCAGAAGGCATACCTGGGAACCCTGGCAAGCCTGGGCTGGCAGGGAAGCCTGGCCCTAAGGTAAGTTGCTTTCCACATTGCCTCTCTTTGTGTCATTTTGCTTTACAAATTTTCTAAGGTTAGGGTATTTAAACAGAAGGAACCATTCTCAGTTCCTTGACCATCTTGAAAATTAGACCAATTCTTTTGTTTGCTTTCTCTTTTGCTCCTGATATTCTGGCCAGGATGTAAAGTTAGCATGAGGGAAGCGTGCTCTGAGAACTATTTTGTTAGCATACATTAGCAGCAACTATAGCTAAGTGAAAATGCTTTCTTAATCAGAGAGGCTTCACGGTTCTGTTACTGAATATGAGCCATAGACCCCAACTGAGACTGTTTCCTCTCAGGCTCTGAGATAATCCCACATTTTCCTTATTGTCTTTGAATTTGTAACCTATGTCTCTCTACCTAAGTGATTCTGAAGCTTTGCCCAAAAACAGTGAAAAAAGAGTATTAGGTATCTGAGATACCTGGAAGCATTCTTGGAAACAGGTCTTCTGTCTGTTCTTTGCTTGCAGCCAAGGGTGCTGACCTGCTTCTGGGAGCAGTGACACTGCTCTGGGCTTATTCACTCCAGAGAGGAGGGAGAAAATTCCTTTAGTTGTTCCTGTTGTTGAAAGTCTGATCGCTTTGATTTCAAATATGGTATTTCTCAATAGTTCTAGTTAGATGGACCAGTATTTGTTATAAAAGGATGAAAAGTTAGATGTGGTGTTAGGAATTAATCAAGGTGCCGACTGAGGCACTGTTACAAGTATAAATTTCCAATCTGATTGAACAAAGAGAAAATTAAACAAATTACCTGTAGGGGGCAGATGTGCCTTATTCAAGCCTCTCCAGTTTCAGATAGTATCCTACTGAACCTCTTCCAAGTACTCAAAATTCTTTGGAGTTGGATTCAGGACTATCACCCCAAAGAATTCTTACATTTTTGCCTTTCCACTCAAAATGTCATCTTTGATGTTAAAGACGACACCATTACTCCATATTAACAATATATAGTAGCATTACAATTTGTAATAGAGAGAGGCTGGTAACTGATTTTGCCACAATGAATAAAAAGAACAGAGCTTTTGCTATGTAAGTCTATCAATCCATCAGGCTATAAGCCACACTACCATATTCAAAAGTCCTGAAAATCACATTTAATATAAAAATCTTTTTTCATATAACCCTTTTGTTTCTATGAATGCTTAACCAAATGTCATATGAAATAAGAAAGAAGAGATATATATGTATATATTTCTACTAAATGACATCACAGAAACATTCATTTGGATGGTAGAAAATTTCCATTTTGTAGTTTTTAACATGTCAAAATTGACTTATCACCATGTACTCAGTAACATACTTCTTCATTTAAAATAGTTGCCTTTGTTTATAGTCTGATGTTCTCATACGTTTTTCATAACAAGTGTGCTGATCTTTCTTCATGTGGTAAAGTTATTGTATATGAATCCCTATAGAGTGTGCACTATCATACTAATACTATCAGTATGATAAGCATGTTGAATTTTGAATGTTTCTGTGACAGGTTGTCTCATTTTGTTTCTTGATGTGGAGTTCCTTCTTGAAAAAATGAATACTGTGAATCTCAACCATATTTTCAGCCCACCTGTGGTGAATAAATTCAGTATCTTGTTTTCATCAGAAGGAGCTCCTTATCATAAGCTTGGAATCCTCAGACATCACACAGCACTCATCCAAGAACCATCTCAAGGAGTCATCTTCTGTAATTACCAGAGATTAGTGCTCTCTTCCTGCATATTTCAAAATAGAGTTAGAAAAGAATTAAATAGGGATCAACGCTAAAGGCTATTCATCTGAACATGCAAAATTTCAGGTCCGGGAAAAATGTTAGGTCTCTTCATATGAACTATTTTGTGTGATTCCTTGTGGGACGTAAAACCAGTCACTGGTATGTCCATGAGTGCTTCCATACATACTTGAATGCACTATTGCTGTGGACAGAAGATTGCTTACTGTTTCTAGATCACTGATACCTAAGCTGGTTAGCTAGGAGGGTGCAAATAGGGAACATGCCTTGCATAAGCCCAAAGAGGCAATTGATTCTCTTGAATGTTCTCAGAAGTCTTTCAAGGTCTAGGCATAATATATTTTGGTGTGCTATCAATGTGTGTCCATATATAGAGAAAGCATTAAGTGACTTTGATTTTATGTTATATGCCTGGTTTAGCATACACTGGAAAAACATGTTTGGTTGTTCTGCTTGTAATCAATTATTTTCAATTTGTTAAGGGTAATAAAGGAAACTCAGGCTTACCAGGTCTGGCAGGTTATCCTGGAGCTCGAGGTCCCAAGGGTTTGCCAGGCATGCCAGGGCCCATGGGAGCACCTGGACTAAAGGTACACACAGTGATCTTGTTTTTTAATGACAGTTTTAATGATACTGTTTAGTCTTCATACTGCATCTAGGGATTGTGGAACCACTGTGCAACTGTTAGTCACATGAGTAATTGATATCAAATCTTATTTGAAGGGTGAGACTGCAAATTGTGCTGACCTTGTTTCTACAACTGTAATTTGAAAACAGAGGTCCCATCCATGTAGATACTATTCCCAACTCCAGAAGCCATTCAACACACTTTATATTTATTCACTCAAAGCTTTAAGGCCAAATGTTTCCTGACATTTCTTTTTAAACTTCTGTAACTGCTGGAACAGTTTGGATGATTTGAACATCTAAGCAATCTATTAGCAGAGAAGTATTGTAATTTCAAGTCTAAGTCCAAAGTTTGGGGGCTAACAAACACGTCTGGGACGTCCATTTATCATAGGACTTAAATTGTTCTTGTTCAGCCCCGTCAGAAATAAATCCGGAAGTGCTCCGTTTTCCAGGCAGTTCCAGGTACCCAGCATTGGCATATCCTCATATTAGACTCATTTCAGTGGTAGAAGCAGCAAAGAATGGAAACATTGTAGATAATTTTCTCCATTTAGAATAGGATTTTTAATCTAAAACCATGATTTGCAGCACTCTGTGAGATTTTATTGGTAAGCAGTTTTTTAAAACCTTAAGTTACTTGAAAACTGGAGGAGGGAAATACTGTTTTTGTTATCTTTTCATGAAAATATTTTAGTATAAACTGTATTCGCTATTTGTAGTGTTTATTGCCAGTGCTCCCAGTCTGGATTTTACTCCTTTGTCTAGACAATGAGCTGTAGGAGGTAGTTCCTGCTCAGAAGTGCTTGCAATCTGAAAAAGACAGGGAATAGATGAGGTGAGGGAAAACTGTTACCACATAGTGCAAAATAAGTATTAAGAGTGGGCATGCTGAGTCAGGCCAAGTCTGTCTTTGTTAGAGAAGAAAGGTAACACCTAGGAAGGAGCATGAGCGCAAAGCAAGCACGAAAGGTGTATATCCACACCCTTAATTGCAGCTCGGTAACATAGTTTCTATGAATTGATAGTCTTTAGAGGATTTCTCTTGCATGATCTTGTCTAGTTTCCATTTGAATTGATACAAACTTCTAGTCTTACAGCAAGGAGTTTCATAACTATACTATGCCTTGCTCAGAGGATTACTTTTTAAATTTACTCCTAACGTGCCTGTTCCGTATTTCATTTTGTGAATTTTAGTGCTTGCACTGGGAGATACCATACTGGAAATGATCCAACATGTATGGTTTTTGTATGTTTCCAAGTCAAGGAACAGTCAAGTCACACTTGCATTTTAGTGAATGTATAATTATTGAAGTATTTCTGAGGGAAGTAAAATGAATGGAGTGGGTCTGTTTCTTAGAGTGAAAGCATGTTCCACGCTTCCGCCGGGAAACCTATCTTTACATTTATAACTGTCATAATTGTAATAAAAGATATATCTTCCTATTGACAGGGTGAGAAAGGGCTTCTGGGTCATCCGGGAAAGCGAGGCAAAAGAGGCCTTCCAGGATCACAAGGTGACCAAGGACCAGCAGGAGATGCTGGACTGAAAGGACAGACTGTACGTAATCACAGCTGTTGATACAAAACAAGCAGTCCAAGTGTTACCAATGTGAAATAACAGTAAGGATGCCTGCTCATATTACAGGGAGAAGATGGAGATCAAGGTTTAATGGGGTTTCAAGGATTCCCAGGTCCAAAAGTATGTGCTCATTCTTTTCTGTTAGATTTTGAACAAATTATTGTTAAAGTTGATTAATTCTATGCTTTTCTAATGTTCTAAATCTGTAAATGGCTTAAGATCTATCTGAACAGTTGGAACATTGTAGGCAGAACTGTGCGCTCCACATCCAAGGATGAACTGGGTCAGCGTGCTTGGTATTTTCACTGTTACTGCTCTTAGAAATTATCTTACTTTCACTGATTACAAGAAATTGAAGCAAGTGGATAGCTAATGTCTATGTTTGATTAAACTGTTCCTTTGCATTTTCAGGGTCCTGCAGGGGACGTTGGCGTAGTTGGAATTCTGGGCCCAAAAGGTCCAACGGGCCAAGTTGTAAGTGTTTCACTCCTTGAAAGAGATTGTCAGGATGGCTTGCAAGTGACACATGTTTTTAGTTAGGGAATCATCTTTTTTTCTTACTAACAAGACTGTAAACCACTAACCAAACCTTTCTCTCTGAGACTATGACTCTCCAACAAGTCCTTTGCTTGTACGGCAACACTGCTCTGGTTGCAACATGGGTACAGATAGACAAGCAGAGCCGCGTTCTTAATCTTGAAGGAAAAAAGCAAGCTCTGCTGACTAAGTGTGGCTCTCCTAGTATAATTTCATCTACGCAGGTGTTCTTATCACTGTCATATCATAGCCTATTGGGGTTGAACATTCTTCTTACTGGCAACAATGCCGATTGTCTAACTGTCCTACAGCAGAAGAAAAAATGGTCAAAATTTGCCTGCAGTGAGTGAGTGGTGCTCAGGCATTATTGATTAATACGTAGTCCTTTTTAATAAATATTTTCTTTTTATCTATAAGGTTGCTAACCTGCATTAGGTCATTCTTCATGACACCTTCATGACTTTCTACTTTGCTACTCACCAAAAATGTGGAAGCATCTTTAGCATTTTTTAATATTGGGTAGTGTGCATCCAGCTTACAGCATCAAGTGAAAAAGGAGGAAAGGTTGCAGCAAGGAAGGCCTTACTACAAAATGTTCTTCTCTCATTGCTGCCATTGCCATCACAGAACTGAATTAGTTCAGTTAACCAGATGCAGAGAAGCAGCTTTAGGGGCCTGTTCTAATAGCTACTTTCTTTTTCTTAAACATTCCTGTACAAGATGAACACTGGAAGTGAGCAGTTTGTTCAAAGTGAAATGGAATGGAAAAATAACATTTTAGTAGCACTTACTGGCAGTCTTACAAGACTACTTGTGGGCAGTAATATAGTTCAAGATATAGTTGATTGTAACTCAATAAATATGTGGTTGTTGGTAATCAGAGTACTTAAGTTTCCACTGGTTTAGTGCATCAACTTTCACATAAAAGAACATGTGTGGTCTTTCCAAGCATAACTATTAGTAATTATTAAAATAATTATCTTGCTGATTTTATAGCAATGTGCACCCAATTTTCAGAAAGCGTGTATCACCATTTCTTTTGGATATTTGGGCTGTGTGCTGAGCAAAGTTAAACCAGGATGCATCAGGAGGATTTTCTTCATTTTGAAAACATGGTGGACTAATAAATTCTTTGCTTGTTTACAGGGATATATTGGCCCTGTTGGTCAAGAAGGAATAACAGGCCCAACTGGCAGGCCTGTAAGTTTCCCTTCTCTTTTGCATAATTTGGTTATTTTGCCTACCCTTATTTTTAATAATCTGTTTTGCGACTAGCAACCTTCTCATTTTTCTCTTTGCAAATAGTAACTAGCAAGACCATCTTCATGTTATACCATGTTAATAAGATAGCATATGCAACTCCAGCATCTGTAACCCAAACAAAAAACTGACAAAAAACAATGACAAAAAAGTCATTGCAGTGGCCTTCTGTCTAAGTACAGTATACAGAGGGCATGCCCACAGGGGCAACGGGTGAGTCAGGGTGTAAACCAGCACATAGTAACTACCACCTGGATGTTCTTTCTCAGCCTTAGGTCTGAGACATATCTAGAGAGTATCTACGCTCTGTTTCAATGTAGTTTATTTTTTCGTGTGTGTTGATTGGGCTGAACTGTCCAGATTGCTCCTCTAGGCATGCTGGGAGTGCCCACAAGCCCTTCCTTGTTGGGGTGTTGCAGGTGCTGGTGAGGTCCCTGTTACAACTCAAACATCATCTTGGTCTTTTGGACAACTTTCAACGCACCCCAGGTTCCCTGCAGTGGGGGACCTCTGCCCTCATCCCTCTTTCCATCTCTTGTCGTACTCCCTGTGCCAGAGAGCAAGCAGTGTTCTGCAAGGGCATGCTCTGACTCATGTCTGCAGACCACCCAGCCATGTAAGGTAGTTTTAGAAGTTTTTTGAACCACCCAAGTTCCTCTGATCAACGAGACTTTGAGTGAATGAGAATGTCTTAAAATTGAAATAATAATCATAAAAATAACAGGAATATACAATAAAAGTAATAAATACAAATATTTACAAGTGAAAAAGAAAGGATAAGGGAAATGTTCCTTCTATAATTCTTTCCACTTGTTGGGAAAAAGACAGTACTTTAAGTCTTGCTGCACTCTTTTCAATTCCACTCAGGAGGAAAACTTTACAGTTGTGTATATTTGTATGAAGGCTTTTAATAGACTTAATATTGAATGTAATAGTTTGCCATTTTCATTAAGAAAGCATTACAGTTGAAGATTACTCCTATGTGTTGTGAAATGCTGCCATCAAGATGCAAAATTCTCCCAGAGAAGAATTGTAAGATTGTTACTGTCTTCGGAAACACAGTTTAAGTGCAAAACTAGCCAAAAATGCCATGGAAACAGAAAAACAGTGTCTAATCTGACTGTGAGAGAAGAACTAATGGGGTAATAAAACCAGATATGTAACCAATGGATTTCTTCAGTGATGGAGAGTACTGAGTTTTGTTCTCTACTCTTAAGATGGTGAAACACTGATCAAATTGTAGAGAATTCCGCTGATTGACAGGGAGAACACTGACAGTTTAAATTACTGAGAAAAACCGTATTTACGATCCAAAGAAAACAGCTTTCCACCTTTAGAATTACAAGATGTTTTCAAGTAATTTAGTTTTCTAATAGTACAGGAAAATTAAAGCCCCAGAGTTGTAAATACTTCCACAGATGAGACTGGAGTTTGCATGTAAGCAGTATAACTCTCACGGCTATTAATCTGCTTATTTCAGTCCGAGGTGGCTAGAACGCATACTGCATTAACAGCTTCTCTTTCTTACAGGGACCAAGAGGTGAAAAGGGCACAAGGGGTGAAATGGTAAGATGAAACAACTTTTGTGCTTCCATTTTTTTTGGCAGTGGAAAAACTATTCCTTTGTTACGCTGAATGTACTCTTGCATGCCCTGAACACCAAACAGTTGTGTTGTGCTCCTGGATAGCACTGGCCAAGAGAGCTGGTAGTATGAGTCAAAACTCTGACCTTTTCGTGTTCAAGATGACTCATGCAGATATGCCCAGTTGGTGTGTGCAGTCAGGTAGTATAGCCCGTGATCATATAGCAGTCACATATTCCAAATCTGTCCCGGTTCAGATCTAAAAGAAAAAAATCTTTGTTGCATTTGGTTTTGATGCTCCAGTGCCTCACAGCACGGCATGCATCATACGCCTGTTCATACATCTATATCATCTTGTCTAGAAGTAGTAGTTCAGGAGAGGCCTAGAGCTAAGGATGAGTGCCTATGATGTGTATGCCAGCTGTAGTAGCAGTAGGCAGCATTGATAGGTTATGAAGTTCCTGTGTCTCATTTTTCAGTAAGAATATTACATTAGGTTTTGCACATTAATAAATGGTGGATTTGATTAACAAATTGTTAGAGCTAATAAAGTCTCCAGTTAATAATGGCTATATGAAAGGCCATTAAATTATCGTACTTACCGCAGATATGAACACAATGATAGCTGATGCCTATGACATTACTTTATATGGCAGGTTCATAATTAGTTCCTTTTCCAGTAACTGGCCAATGTGATCTTGCTCTTACCCTGCCTCTTACCCCACCTCACTTAAAATCATTTAGTATCTCTTGTCTTATTGTATTTTGGTTTAGCAGCTACCTGTGTACAATTCCAACCTAGCTGCCTTATAAAAGTTTTGAAAAATAAATCATAAATATTCAAAATTCCTTAAAGAATTAAGACTTGGAACTAAGCTTGCTGTATGTGTCTTGGGGAACTTTCTTCTTTGATTCTAATGCTCTTGAGGCCGTTGCTATCTTAGAATAAGAGGAAAACTATTTTCCTAATTCATGCTGCTATTAACCGTCTTAATTGTCTTTTTCTACTGTTTGTTCATAAGAATTGCTATGACAGCATGGAGCTAAAAATGCTGGCACTTAATAATAAAAATCATCCAAAATGGTGAACAAGAAACACCTGTTTCCATTATTGGTGCTGGTGTTTAAGAAGTTATTTCCTAAATAAGGTCTTGAATTCATCAAGATGAACTAATCTCCTAAGACTGTCTTCGGAAGAAGAATGTTTAATTTTAAATCATACACAGTGGCATTAGTTTATGTAGCCAATAAAAGGATTTCTTTCCAACTATTTTTGGATACAAAGGAGAGAAAATTATTTTCATCCAACTGTGTATTCTGAGCTTGAATTTATACCTTTAAAATTGATATTGGCATTCTTCCTAGAATCACAAATATTTTAACTTTTTTTTTTGTAGCAGTCCAAGTTTTAGTTACAGGGTTTTTTTGTCTGTCAAGGATACGGTATTCATTGCTAGAAAGAAATGTCCTTTTTTTTTTTTTTCCCCCCCTGAAAAACATGGAATATAAAATCATGTCTCCTTGTTGAGGTCAGTGGTGAACCAAAGTTAAAGTCCTGTAGGCTATTCCTGGAGAAAAATTGATAGAGTCAGAAACAGAGTTTGTTGAAAAATTTTAATCAAAATTATTTTTTCAATTCAAAATATTCATATAACTGTGATTGAGACATTTAGAAAAACATGAAATATATTTTGGAATATTGTTTCAGAATTCTGATATTTCTGAAAGTGTGTTTTCATTTTCTTAATTTTTTTAATTATTTCATAGCATGTCACATAATGAATTATAATATAGAGTCATAGGATAATCTGGGTTGTAAGGGGTCTCAAGGCATTTCTAGACCGACCTCCTGTTTAAAAGACTCAGCTCTGAGATCAGTGTATGTTGCTCAGGGCTTTATTCAGCCGGGTCTTGAAAACTTCCAGGGGTGGAAACTGGATAATCTCTTTTGGCAATGTGTTCCAGTGTGTGACTATCCTCAAGGTGAAAAAAGATACAAGCTAAGATGATAAGGCATAATCTGTAATTTTCTGTTATCATCTTTTATCTTAGATTTACAATCATTAATGGCAGCTACTGCACTGAATTATATTGCAGGATGGTGGTTAGGCTTTATCCATTATGGCATATGGTGACTAATATCAAAATGACGAAAGTGGTAAGGGAAAGCTTAATATTAATACTTTTTTGTTAAAAAATGCCTTCTGTTTTGTCAAAAACGTCAAAAGTCATGGAAAATGTGGAAGTCCTTGGGATTGTTCATGTTTTCAAAGTTAAGCATATGTATTATTGCACATAAAACCAGGACCTGACAGTATTAGGAAAAGATTGGGGTTCTGGCCTTTGAACTTCTGTTCTAGCAATCAGATTGGGTGATTAACGAATTAAAGAGCACACTAGACCTAAGTGTTCTATTCTCTGCTTTTGTTATTATGAACTTTTGTTATTATGAACTCGCTTTTCTCACCTAAACTCTAATGTGATCAAAGGGTAAATTAAGTAGATTTGTAAAGGTAATCCTGTACATTCCAGTAAAACATTTAGCAATTAACTTAATCCATGAAAAGTGTAATTTAACCTTATTTTGCTGCTCTGCAACAGAAAGAAAGAGCATTTATAACATCCTTACAGGATTTTCAAGACACTCTGCACGGTTTCATTATATTTTAAAGGCTTGTGAAGGTAATTGATCTAGCCCTCTGAAGTTTTAATGCATTTAAGAAATGTAATATCCCCAAGAGTAGTTCACTGTAGTTAACAAATAGCATTCAATATTTACCTTTCTTTCCACATGGGTTTTATTGGCAAGGAGACAGTGAATCAAGACAAATCACATTCCTCTTTTGCAAAATACCGTGAATTCATTGGAACAGTGCAGGTTTTGATTTTGAAAATATTCAGTTCTATCTCAGAAACCACTATAAATTGGAACTGTTCTTGTCCCAAGATTTTTGAGTCTTAAAATTGTGACACATGAAGCATTCAGTCATCTGAAAAATCCACTGGAATGTCTAAATCTCAGCACCCAGAACAAGGACATCTATTCATCAGAGAGCTGTGGTTACTTAGGGACAAACTGTTGAAGACTTTGTGCCTTGCCCTGACTTGGTATTTGCATAATCAAGTCCTGAACCAAGATAAACAAATATATCCTTACACTGTCAAATTAATTTCTCAAGTTTGTTTCACACTTTCTCTTTCATTTTATACTAAATGTACTTTACCAGGTGTGATCAGTCATTTGAGTAATGTATCCACATGGGATTGAAGGTATTGTGCAGCAGTCTAACAGCACCTGACTTGCTGATCTGATTAGTAAAAGTGGAGGTCAGCCTTCTCAGATGGCTTACAACACTGTAGCTCTGTGAAACCCAGTTGATTTGCAACAGCTGAGGGACTGCCCCAAAATAGTGAATGTCATCTCTGCAAACTCATCTCTCATCAGTTTTGTAATGATGAATAACAACAATAATATTTTATGCCTATTTAATAGTAATAGGATTTCAAAGAAAATTTCAAGATGGGAAATAATCAAACTCAGAGTACAAGTACTTGCCACAGAACCCACAGGGATTTCTATACTACTTTATATGGTAAAATGACTTATTCTTTGATTTTCATTTCCCAACATTAATCATAATATCTTTATAAAATATCAGTAAGTATTTACCTAAAAGATGTCTTAGAGTCGCTTCTATAAGTGTAAGTGGATGAAACAAATAGGGTCAGGATGTAGCAATTGAAAAGCTGATAACATTTACAGTCCCTAGAGTTTATGCCATTAATGTCATCTTAGTTAAGTATCAGAAGACCATCTCTCTAAACACCCAGAAATCGCTTCAGTTTTAATTCTCCCCTGTTTTCCAAAGAACATGTGTAAACCATGGGTCTTGGCCTCAAAGCCATCTGCAGTCCCTCAGCATAGCCTTGTTGGTATTGATCAGGTGCTAGGAATTGCATGATGGCCCCCACTTTTCACACCCTGGCATGGCCAGAGCAGGTGAGGTGCAGGCACACTTGTGCAGCTGTGGGGTTCGTTGTAACCCCTGACAGATGCATTCCCCAGGAGCTGCCATGTGCTCTGCCTTATGAATATGTCTAGAGACAGAAATGCAGCTGGCATTCTCCTAAGAACTGATACATTCACCCCTTAGTGACATAAGTAAATCACTTCTATCTGCTTTGAGATCCTTTTTTTAAATATATGTGAATTAATGTTAGATTGAATCTGGCCTTTCTCTAACCATTTCCAGCTGCCCCTGCTGGTGGCAGCTTGAAGCACAGCCCAAGTTCAGCAGTTATGGCATGCAGTGATGCTCACACAGATCCTGCTGTGAAATCTCACAGCAGGAAACTGCATTAAGTGATTTACAACTTAATACTTCTTTGACTAGATGAGTTTTGCAATATTTGTCAGCATGAGCATGTCAGATAAGATTATTTCTCTTTCGGCAGAGACTTAGTACTAGTGTGACCAGACTGGTGTAAAGAGGGCTTTTGCTGCAACAGCTTACTGTGCTCGAGTAATTGGTACAAGCAGCACTGGCTAAAAAATGTTTTGCTTAAATTAACTTAGTTATGTTAAAAGGTTTTACTAATACATAGTGTGGGTCTGGTCTATGCCTTTCATTCCTCCTCCTTCTCTTTTGCTTGTATTAAAGCACTGCCACCTATTCTTTTCCTTGTCATTGTTCTTGCTATTGTTTATGTTACAGCAGCTCCTAGAGGCTTTGAGTATATAGAGATTGAAGAAGAGAATCTAGCAGACACACAAGTATCACTGTATATTAATAAATATTCATAATCATCGCATTTTAATGTCAATAGTTGCTCAATAAAAGGATAATTAAGAGGGGTTATTGTTTTTGGGAGGGTCCATCTCCAACCCTAAGGCAAGCCTAAAACTGAAATTTAAGACTATGTGCGTTGTAGGCATTATGAGCTAGGGAAAAGCAGCTGTTCCTTCTCCTTCTCTGCTCCTCACTTCATCATCCTACACATTAAAATGATGTCACGATGAGGAAATAAGGGCATAACTTCTTGAATATGAAGGAAGCCTGCAATATCACTGTTCAACAATTAACACATTCAGGCTGCAAATTGACACTGCTAATAAATAGAGCTAATAAATGCCTAGCAAACACTCATGGAGTAAAGTGGATCAGTTAGTTTTTTACAACTAGCCATAACATTATTTACAATGCTTTTATGATCGTTCATCTCTTGTAGTACTTGTATTGGCAACATGCATATAATGCTGGTACAAGGTATAGCACGTTATATATTAATAGTTTGTATGGCTTCTAATGTTCCCTTAATTTAATATCAAAAGTAATTGGATAAACAAATAACCAGACAACCCAGCAATTCTATCAGGAATATTCACATGTTAACAGAGTATGGTACTTTACCAATACTAACTAATAATCTACAGCTTTACCAAAACTGATTGTGATTTAAAATATACATAAATGTAAAAGCAGAGGTGTTCATCTATAACTGTTGCATTTTTATCTCTATTTCTTCTAGGGGCCTCAGGGACCTCAGGGCCAGCCAGGACCACCTGTAAGTGTATAAAAAAAAAGCCTGTATTTTTCCATTGTGATTGCATTATATAAACATGTGAAGTACCTAATATCTGGTTTCTGCCATTTTCCAGGGACCACCTGGACCACCAGGACCAAGAGTAAGTTCTGTAACAACCCTAACATACACTACAGTTCTTCTTTGAAAGTGAAAATATCAGGATCCTTTTCAAATGCATTGTTTGTTCCATCACTGCACATTGCAAATGCATTTTCCTACAACTTCTGTCACTACAGTAATACGTTTTTTTTGAATCTTCCATCTTACACTGTCAGTTCTGTTCTGCCACACTGTTGAGCCTTCAACAGGCAACACTCATGGACATGCTTGTATTTTTGACATGACTTAACTCCATCACACTCTAAAAGGTTTTTCTCCTGTTCTGTATTTGAACACTCTGACAGATAGCAACAGAAAATTTTGTGCTGTTTCTGGCCCAGATGTTCTCCCTATATACACACACACAGAGATTTAGTTTAAAGGTTTGTGCCAGTTAGGACAGACTCAATATCTGAAGTGTCCTAACACTGTAATGATATATGTAATCTGAGAACAAATTGCAAGAACTAGATGCTTGTGTGGATAACTTAATTCTTTAAAAATAAACAAACCTGTTGTCTGGGTCTGGTATATACATCACACAAAGTGCAGAGAGTGAAGATAGGCAAGAAACAGTCTTCCTCTTTCAGAGGCTAGATTGTCAGTCTTGGTATTTGTTCTTGCATCATGGAGACTACTTTGATCTGTCAGCTGCTGATGACTGATCGAGATATTCTTTGTCTGCTTCTCTGTAAAGGAATAACACCTGTTCACACTTAGCTGGATTGTTTTTTTAAGTATATAAATTAAATGGCTGGGAGGAATAAGTTGGGGCATTAGTCTGTAACAACTATTATAGTATCTTTTTCCCATGTTCCAGGAGTATGATCATTAAATTGAGTATGGGGGTACTAATAAAAATCAAATATGCTTTTTCTGTATGCATGCTTGCATTCTTTGGAAATGGGAGGATCCTATTTTAAAAGTAAGGGTTTAAAATGAATTATTTTCTAAAATGACAAAATAACGAAGCTATCATGTATTGTTGCTACAGTGCTCAGAGAATTTACCACCTGCATTTTAGAATAGTCCTGTTCATCTTTTTATATTCTGAAATACCTTTTTTCCAGAAACAAGTGGACATCAATGCTGCTGTTCAAGCTTTGATTGCATCAAATGCTGCACTGCAGATGGAGGTAATATATATCAGTGTATTTACATTGTCATACAGTAATTGTCATGCAATTAGAATTATATTTTTTTGAGGACAGAACAAGGCTTCTTTACAAGGACTTAATTTAGAATGAATCATGGATAGCAAGTAATTACTGTAGAATATAATTAAACATGCTAGGAAATGAAATTAAGAAAAACAGCAGCATTTCTACTTTTTGTCATGATGGGCAGTAATGGAAATTTACGGACTGTCACACATAGCTGACTGTATCTGTTAAGCCACAGATAATGAGAGTTGCATTCAGGCCTTGATCCAAAAAAATACGGACACATATGCAAATGTGTGGTCCCATTGATTGCAAGAAAATTCCTTACATTGGTTGAAGTCAAATAGATTTGCATATATTTTCTAGGTTAAGCCTAAGAGTAGATATCACTATTCAAAATCTGAAACTGCTAAGTATACTTTAAAAATGCACTAATTTTTTTCTTTTTTTCCCTTTTTTTCCCCCTGTATCCACATTTTTATGTCAACATGTCATAATGATGTATCTGCATGATCTTAACCTGCCTGTAACTTCACTGCTCTGATAATTCCAATAAAATCTACTAATTTATTTATCGGAAATGTTATTCTTACCCTGTTTTATATGGCTGATTGCATGTGTTATAAATACTTTGCTTCTGTCTGGCTATTCAATGGCCGTTTGACTTTTACTGCATATGCTGTTGTTGTGATACTACTTTGTGGTAACACATTTGCTAATGGCCCCTGGCAGAAATACCAGAATACTGAAGTAACTTTACTAGATCACAGTACAGAGATATTCAAAACGCTGCATTACCTTAGCAATTTACTGCACAGCATCAAGAACCCTCTTGGCACACGGGATAATCCAGCACGCATCTGCAGGGATTTGCTTAACTGTGAACGTAAAGTGTCAGATGGTAAGTGTCTGCTTTCATTAAAGCTTGAACACTACTAGGCTTCCAAATGTTAGATTCTACATCAAAATTCTAATGTGTAGATTTTTTATTATATTCTGTTGCAGTGTCCCTGTCACAGCTATCTTTATTTAAGATAAAATGTCTGAATTTTAAAGATGAAAGTGTGTAGCTATCTAATATTATATAGGTATTAGAGATTATATAAATATAAGTAAACAAAAGTGTCCCAAAAATTTGAAACTGAATCTAATTTTGTGATTAAAATTTTCCCAAGTATTTATAGCTAATCTTGCAATGAATTTTGTGTGGATCAGATTCCAGATTTGTAAAGAGAAAATTGTATATAACACACTGACAGTTGTTGTATCCCAGAAGATCCTGAATCAATATTTCAAATCAAAAATGATTATTTAAACCTGTAAATGCCAATACTGTAACAGAATTCAGTCTCTGAGTGGGTAATAAAATTTTAAAACTACCTGTAAAAATCTCTATTATCAAGTATTAGCACTAACAAGCTAAGGAGGAAATGGGAAATGAAGTTAGAGGTTACAGGGAAATAGCTGTTCTATGGCATATATAAGGATGGATCAATTCATTAAGACTTTAGGAGAGATGAGCCTAACCCTTCTTAGAACTGTGCTCTCCTAAATACGTCTCAGTCCTTTAGGGCCACAGAGGTCACTGATACAGTCCTCCACTTCAGAGGATTACGCTCCCCCGTATAAATTGCAGAGCACAGGCTCACCCATATTTAACTATAAATTAAGAGATATAATTTGCATGTGTCCTATTTCTTTTATTGGACCAAATCCCATGGATTCACAACGGCAAATTCTCCTTATTACTGTCACCAGGATATGTCATGTAGAAATATCTGATGGGAGAAAGATAGTGGAGAAAGAAAGGATCTTCAAGATGCTGTGAGAGTAAGAGAATTTAGATTGATATTTTACATTCCTGAGTATATACTCTGTATAAAGCCAAGCCCAAGGAAAAAATTAGTATAATAGTGAAAAGACTTTCATGTTCCTTTTCTTTCATTTGCTAGTGAAGCTACGCTGATGTGTCTAATATTTGCCAAAAAGTATTAATATTTTAGCAAATTGTTTAGTAACAATTATATTTTTGTTTTATTTTCCATCTGGGATTCTATACTTATAGGAAAATACTGGATTGACCCAAATATTGGATGTCCTTCTGATGCCATTGAAGTTTTCTGCAACTTCACTGCGGGTGGTCAGACATGTTTAACGCCGCTGTCTGTTACAAAGGTATGCACTGCTTTCAGAGAGACTGTATCCATGCTGGAACTCTGAACAAATGAATGCTTATTTACTTGACTCATGAAACGTATTAGATTTCAGGGGGGGTTTAATATGCATCTTTGTGAAAGGCCATGTTAAATATTCTGTTACAGAAGTTACGGACTTTCTGGAGACAATATACGTTAGCGTAACTCTCACTTTGTTCATTCACTCACCTTCCACGCTGATAGAATTATTTTGGCTTGCTTTATACTTTTCTATACAGAGCATAAAAATAAGCCTGAAATGCTTCAAAGCTACATTAGTAACTCATCACTCAGGGCAGCTGAGTGTAGAGATGCTGAGGTCATTGCAATGGGAAGTAAGAAAATTGTGACTACTTTTTAACTTTTAAGTGCCATTTGGCAGAGACTGGTTTCCTCTCTATCATTAGTCCATGCTCCTCTTTACATGTAGTTCTTAAACCCTTAGGAGTAGAAATTTTGTATTTGTGGTGTTTTGCATATACACTGTAGTCACTGAAGAGCATCACAAACACCATAAAGTTCCCATACTCATTCCTACATTTGGAAGATTCCTGAATATGATCTAGTCTTGGAGAAATTCCTGTAGAATAATGAGTAAATATATTCTCTGTCTAAAATCAAAGTATGCTTACAAATTTTTGGGTTTTTTAATGGGATGTAGGTATTGCCAGAACCTGTGGTCGAAGAAGACTAAACAGCGGAATGATGTGGCTGCAGTTAAAACACTGCCGCTTGTAATATCTTTGTTTGAATCACAATATAATTTGTTTGTTTCCTTATTTAAAAATAGTGTTTTCTGCCCAGCTGTGTTTCAACAACGTTGTAAGCATCAGTGAATGTTTATATTTCAGTGTTGAAAATGTCCTAGAAAAGCTTCTGTTTATAGTAATCACTATAATAGAATGTAACAACCCTCCCGAGAAATACAAATTGTGCTCTTTGGCATTGATCCCAATGTATGAACGTGTGTAGATGTTCCCATGTCTGGACACCACACATGTATGTGCATGTCACTGTGTTGCTGTGGCCATTCAGCATAGTCCAGCTGTAAGTCTAACGATGCATTTCTCTTGAAACTTAGCTGGAGTTTGGCGTTGGAAAAGTGCAGATGAACTTCCTTCATTTACTGAGCTCAGAAGCAACCCATAGCATCACAGTTCATTGTCTGAACACACCGATGTGGGGATTAAATAAAGCAGGTGGCCAGAAAACATCTGTTAGCTTCAAAGGATGGAATGGTCAAATATTTAAAGCAAATACGCTACTTGAACCGAAGGTTCTTACGGATGAATGCATGGTAAATACTTTTTAGCACTAGCATTACTCAAACCATAATGAGTTACTGTTTAGACGTTATTAACTTTCTGCAAATAAATAACAATCATTTAGATTCACATCCCTTGAAGCATACTTCTTACATTATTCTGCATATGTCTCTACATGCCAACCTTTTAATATTGAATTCAACATCTACCCAAACACAAAAGCAATTGCCGTAATACAGGATATCTATGCTTGCTGTTTGCACTGAGTGTCGTGCATTTCAAGGCTCTACTAAGACACTGGAGAGAGCTCAGAACTGAAATAGTGGTCCTCCAGGAAACTGTAGGAATGGTTACTCTCAAAATGAAAATTGAGGCTTCAGTAAGAGTTCTGTTGAGGTTATCTAACGCGAAATCTCAGGTTCAAACAGGCTGGAAATTATTTTTTGAACAACTAAATATCTTTAATTTCATTGACCATGAGTCAATTGTTTGGTTATTTAAAAAAATAATGATGGTTGGAAATGGACTCCATGGCTAACTAAAATATTAAATCATATTTTTATTTAGGAAGAATTGGAAGAGCTTATTAATTTTCTAATGCTCATTAGATTACTCCACTCACAAAGATGTGAGCCATTTGGTAAATGTCTTGGTAGAACTATGAAATATAGCAGCCAAGCACCTTACACTTTCAGTATTTTATAGCTCTACTTTCATTTACAATAACAAAAGGTGTGAGGCTGGTTCCACAGAGATACAGCCAGTGTCAGGTGAGATTTTTAGTCTCAAGATGGAAAGTGGTTTTAATGAGGCACTTTGAAGCTGTTATGCTTCCAACCTTTATTAGCACATGCTAATGAGGTGCTGTAGCTTGTGTCATGCAGCTAAGGTATAGCTGTTGAAGCCCCTTCTCCCCACCTCCCAGTCTGTTTGGGACTGATTTAATCCCTGAGAAAAATTAAGGCATACAGTGATGGCTATTGAGAAGTGATGTTTTTCTGTGAGATTCTACAAGGTCTGTTGCTCTTTCTGTGAGAAACTATATATTGTACAGATCTCCTGCAGAATCGTACAGATCTCCTGCAGAATCTCACAGATTTCCCTCTCTGCAAGGATTTCACCTTTCAGTGGTGTCCACGGTACTTGATTGTTCTTAAGAATGGAGCCATTACAAACATCAAGGGACTCCCAGCCTCAGACAATGTTATAATGTTATTTTATAATTTTTGAGATACCAAATTTTTACTGAGATTTTTAAGGGATGAGAATAATCAATACATAGTTAATGGGAAAAACGCAGCTCTAATTCCCCATGACTATTCTTCAAGGGCCTACAAAGTCATTCAAGTGCCTGTAGAGTTCATAACCTGAGACCTACTGTTGAAATTTGGCAACAGTAAGAGTTGCAAGAGATCTGAGTCTGTGTGAGCTCAGGAGTGCTTGTGAAGTGACAGTCGCTCTGCTCTGAGCTGTGTTGCACTCCTGGCTGGGGCTTTTTAGTTATACTTTGCCAGGAGTGCCGGTGGTATCACATGGGAGAAATGGCACTTGTTAAATTACGCAGTTTCTTTAGGAACTGCTGGGAGAAGAAATGTTTCTGTACACTTCTCCTTTCATTCTTTAAGCACAATTCCCATTTGTGTTTTGAAGCTCATCTTTGATGTGAATCTAATACTCTCCTTGTGTGTGTTGCAGATTGAAGATGGCAGCTGGCATAAGACACAGTTCTTTTTTCACACTCAGGATACTAATCAGCTTCCAGTTGTTCAAGTTAACGCACTTCCTCATCTCAAACCAGGACAGCAGCACTTCATAGAAAGTGGTGCAGTGTGCTTCCTTTAAGGGTTCTGTCCTGGGGTTTTTTGCATCAACATGGAATTGCTGCGTAGATTGAATGCAAAAGTAATGATCCATTTCAGGCAAAATTACTAGGAAACTGAAAAATTATTTTGAACAGTCTTGGTTAAAGGTGCTTTAAAGGTTGGTTTTGAGGAAGAAGACTTCCAAGGAGAAATGGCATTGGAAAAGAAAGAAAGAAAATACTACAACAATTTTTGTAAAATATTTAAAAAAAAAATTGGTTGGTGCTTTCTTGTATAATTTCCTGGAACTGAGTGCCTGAATATGGTTTTTTGTTTTTTTTCAGGACCTCTAGTGTTCTTAACAATCTCTTTAACAGCACTGCAAAAAAAACATCCTGAGGAAAGCTGGAGACAATACTAAGGAGCAATACTGGCTAATGCTCCTAAATGTGCAATAGCTTATATATGAAAAGTGAATTATGCCACAGTACGATACATCTTCTTTTCTTAAACATTGTTTTATTATAGTCCTTTGTGGACACCTACATCTTAACGGATGGCACACTACCTCTTTTGTGTTTCCTGTCCATGCTGCCTTGGTGCTCTTCATAACACAAGGTGCTTGTGGCCTTAGCAGAGATTATTTGAGTCCCTTTTTATCTTTCAGACTGTATGTGCTGGTTACATCAGGATATGTTTCTGTTGTAAAGGTACTTATTTTAAATCGTTGGTCATATACTTCGCTACAATGAAAACATTATTTATGTGGATTTCTTGTTTAAAATATTTTTGTGTACTGTTGTAGAAATGGTATATGAGGCAGCACATTGTATATGATGCATATAGTCAGAACAGTAGCTTTACAGCCATTGTAAAAATTGTTGTAGAAGAGCTAGCTGCAGTAGTTGTGAGTTTTAGATTCTGTATTTCAGTTAGCATTTCTCATGCCAAAGGCATCTTAAGATGATATATTGTGTATATATTTTGTAACTTGTGAAAACAATCTACTACAGCATGTCTTCTGTATGGCTGCTGTTAAATTACAATCACCATTTCATCAGCCTAGAAATTCCATTTTTGCAATGTTATTAGATCATTTTGTTTTGTTTTGTTTTTTTTAAATTAAGCCTAAAATGTTGAACCATCTTTTTTTTTTTTTCATTAAAAAAAAATTATCATTAGGAAAGCACTCTGTATAGTGATGTCTCTATTATCAATCCAAAGTCTGCTCAGTAGCACATGGCAAGGTGATACCAGACTATCCTGGGGAGCAGGGGAGCGTTCAAACAACTTGTTTGACTGTCTTGATCCACAGGAAACCACGGTTACCAAAGTATAATAAAATAAGCTTCCAAGCTATCTGTTTGTCTTTTACTGTTCTGTTTCGTATTGTACAGTTAATTCTTGGTAACGATGTAAATCTTCTAGAAGGGTACTTGTTAGGTGGCAATGCTTCTTTTACCAAGGGACAGTGTTTATTTTTATGAGCTCATGTACATGTACATCCCATTTTATGTTTTTATATTGAAGCATCAGTTCTTGTTCCCTTTGAGAAAATCTGATAAAACTAAAGACAAACCAAGATTACAAAGTGATGATAAAGGTTAGAGAAAATGTCGCACTTTTTGTGTTTTCAACATTGATACACTCTAACACCATCACTTGATGTTTGCTTTTAGTTTGGTTGTGGAGCTGATGATGTGACAAATGGATTATATTTTTTTTTGTAAGAATGTCATCTTTTACAAAATGTTGTGCTTCATGTATATTTCTATTAGTCTCATTGCCCTATTTTTAGAAATTCTTTATAGCCTGTATTTATGTTTTATATTAGCATGTTTCAGAAATTATTTTAAAAATAGCTTGAAGTATGATAAGGCTGCTCAGGTGTAAATATGTGCATTTCTGTAATTGAGGCAAAAATGCCCATCCCATGCCGACAGCAGAAGGAACTTGCGCAGCAGGACACTGACAGGTAGTAACGCACCGCGTTGCTCGAGTTGGAGGTTGCTGGAAACATTTGGCTGAAAGGATCCTGTTTGACAGTTACTTGTATACAGTGCAGTATGTGTTTTGGAAAGTCTCTTGTATTCTGACATCTTTACCAGAGCTCCTGCAGCCATTCACGGTAGATCTCGTACAATTTTGTCCCACAATGTTAACAAGTGCCTGTAGTCTGCCATTCTTTTTTTTTTTTTATGGTTTCTGAGGTGGTCATCTGCTTTGTTACCCTTAATTTTAGAGCAAGCCCTGATCTAGATGACAAGAGTCTTTGTCAGAATCGTTTTATCTCTTTTCCGCTTAGTGTTATTTTTCATGGTTAAAAATCCACAAAAAAGCACCTGGGAAGCGGGGCCTTCAAACAGCCTCGAGCAGGAGCGATAAAGCCCGAAGGCTGGGGGCTGCTCTCGGCGCCGCAGCGGCAGGCGGGTGGCAGCGCGGCCCTTCTCCCCTCTCC